AAATGCCTGTAATGGCCATTGCTTGAGCCTGCAAGGGCAAACTGCAAAGCCTGCACAGGCCTACCCTGAAAACCTATAAAGGTTTACTCCTTTAGCCTGTAAGGGCTTACCCTGGAAAGCCTGTACTGGCAAAGGCAAACCCCACACCTGCCAAAGTAAGCCTGCAAAGGCAAACCCAAATGATTTTGTTCCATCTGCTATTGAAGCGACAGGGTGCCACTTCAGTCATCATCATATTCACATTTGGCCACCTTGCAATGCTGACCAGTCCTTTTGTAGCCCCTCTTCTTCTCAGTGAAGCAGGCTGCCACATCCAACATGATGTAGTTGCACACAGCTGTCAAAGAAGCAGTTTCCAGGCGCACTGTGATGTCGGTCTCTTTCCAAGACTTGGGTGTCTTGATTTCAGCCTCAGATTCACCCAGCTGCACAACAAGACTGGCAGGTGCCTTTGCCAGCATTTGCTGAAGTTTCCTTTTGTGCCTCTGCAGCTTGCCTTCTTGTTCTTCAACCTCTTCTGGCTGTGGGCCATCAAACATGCTACCTTCTGCATCTGAAAGATCTCCTTGCTGACTATCCATTACAGCAGCTTTGATCTTGCAAAGGATCTCCTTGATTTGAGCGCAAGCACTGAGTGAGGGGTTCTTCAGGCCCTTGAACCTTTCATCATGCCCCAAAATCAACTTGGCAATGCAGAAGCTGCTGCTTCTCAGCTTCAGCCACTTCTTGCCATCATCGTCCACTAGCACCAAGTTGTCAGGGATATAGACTGGAGGGCCATCTTTGTAAACCAAACAGGTGACTTCAGAAATTTGCATTGTTGCAAGAACCTTGTATGGAACTACATGCCTGTGTTGGGCCAAAGCAGACAGGCTTGTGTGTGTGCACTTGTTTGTAAACAAAGGCTTACATGCTAGACTCTAGACATCCACTGAGCTTGTAGTAGCCAGACTCTTCCTTTGCTAGCCTGTATAGGCTCAGACCAAAGTGCTTGTTTTTTTGTTCTGCACACTGCACATGCTCCTCTGCACATGTTCCTCTATAATGTACAGCTGCCCAAATCATTTCTTGCCAATCTTTTTCTTTTTGTTGGAAGTGTCTTCCTGAGGCTCCAGGAACAAAGGGCAACCAAGATCCACTTGCCTCTTGTTCACATACACAGGAATGTGCAAATTGTCGTGCTTGACCAGCTGCTTCTGCATGACACACTCAACATCCTCAGGGTTGCCCTCCTTGAGAAACCAATATGGAACAAACATGCCAGTTCCCTTGGTGAAGTCAACTTTGGTCGGTGCCACCACCAATGCCACATGGCTGAGTTCAGAGCATTTGATCACACACTGGTTCTTGGTGACCTTCTCAAAGGGCACCAGTTGGAGATTCCCCAAAGGTACCAGCACCAATTTGTTCTTGTTGTATTTGCCTCCACTGAAGACTTGGTTCAAATTGCTCACAAGCACGTCCATAGGACCTTGCCTTGGATTGGCACACAATACACAAAACCATCAAAACAACTTTCACAACAAACCTAGGCCCAGGCAAGGTACTGTGTGAACTTGTCATACAATGCACACTGGGCCTTTGACCTGGCAACCTCTTCAATGAAAGTGCTGGAGGCAGCTGGCAAGAGTGCTTTCCTCACAGACTCTTCAATGAGGCAAGGGCCTGGCTTCACCCATAGCTTCGCCTTTTTCAACTCACTGTGGGGTATCTCCTTCTCTTCTTTGCTGCCAAAATATGGAGCATGGGAGAACTTTGCACTGGTTGGGCCGACCTCCTCCAGCTTCCAAACCTTACCATCACCATCCTCCCTGAGAATGTAGTGCTTCCCAAGCTGGATGTGACTGTTGCCAGCCAACACAATCTGGACTGGGTCATTCACCTGGTCCAAAGACTTGACCATTGTTGCAGCACTCTTTGCTTTTGCTGTAGCAGAAGGCCCTGGGCCACTTCCACAGCACTCAGCAAAATCAGCTTGGAATTGCTCATTGATGGCCAATAAAGTCTTGTACTCTTTGCCTTCCCTGCCCTTCAGCTCCTTGGCCAAAAGCAGAAGCACCAGGCGGATTTGGAACTTGCCAAAAGGGAGGGCTGTTTTCTCCAGTGGCAGCCCAGATGCCTCAAGTGTCTGCCAAGCTGCAACCATGAGCTGCTCTGCTTTCATGATGTCATCAAAAGCCTTCTTCTGCTTGAGCTTGTCAAAGTCAGATTTGCAAATCATTTTGCTGATTCCATCTCTAATGAAGCTCCTGGGTGCGGTCACTTGGGTGGCACACAAAGCCACCCTCAAGAAAGGCAAGGTGGTGGTGCCAGCTTTGAAATCTACAGAAGCCACCAAAGTGCTGAACTCCTCTCCAATCATGACACTGGCACCAAAAGAGCGTCCTCAGCTGCAAAATCCATATCAAAATAATTATATAGGCTGTAATGCCTGTGGGTAGCCTGGAAAGGCTGCAGCTTGAGCAGTTGCAAGAGAAATTGAAAAAAGCCTGCACAAGCTAGTTTTAGCCATGTATGCAAACAGGTTTCCAATGACATCCAGGTACTTGAGCAGCTGAAACTGCTCTCCTCCTGCAAAGGTGCCCACAAACTCTCCTATGTGCTTCATGTAGCCTTTGCAGGGTGGGTTGCTCGAAGATGCTTGGGCAATAGCTTTCCCCAAATCCTTTGTGGCCTGCATCTCATAGGTCTTGGCAATGGTCAGCATAACTTCTAGCTCTGTAGGTGGCTTCAAAACACAATGGTCACCTCAATGTGGCTTGGTTTGGACTCCAAGTGGCAACCAATGTGCCACCAACAGGCTGCCAAGAACAAAGAGCAAACAAAAAGTACAAGTCTCACCAAGTGGCTATTGAATGCCTGCTGTAGCAAGCTTGGCAAAGCTGGAACATGCAGTTCTACTTGCTCGGAGACAATGGTCCACATCCATCCCTCACTCAAAAGCTCTGCCAAATCATCTTGCTTTGCCATGAGCTGCTCCACACTGGTATTTTCATTGTCCATAGTGCATTTATATGCCAAAGCCTTGAGGAAGCTGGTCGTATGGGATGCACTGATAGTGCAGCACCTCTCTTTTCCTGAAGGCTTGGCAAGCATCCCATTGGATTGCTCATGCAAATTAGTGTTTGCCAAAATCATGGCATGCCTTGCAGCTGCATCATGGGGCAATTCAACTGCCACTGGTTCTCTGATTTTGTTCTTGTCCCACCCAACTTCACTAATAGCAATGCCTTTGCTCCAAACATCCCAGCTGTTGACCATCTGGCCTGCCCGATTGCTTGTGTGTACAAGCAGGTCTTGGGGTCGAAGCTTCTCTGTGTGTGTAAGGCCATGCTCTTTCATGCACATCATTGCCTTTGAACTCCTCTGGTTGATTGCCATACTATTGTCATCCACCAACCTTTGTAACTCCAATGCCCAGGCTGGCTTAGCCATGGCTCTTCAAGTGAAGCTGGATGGAGCTTTTGTTTGTCTTGCTTCTAGTGAGCTGACTTTGCAATTCATCTCCAAAAAATTCATGTGGGCCCAATGCCCAACACCATGAACCATGTGGTGTGCACAACACCTGGTGTTTGAGTGTGCTTGTTTTTTTCCACACATTGTGACTTGAACCACCAAGCCACACACGCCAAACTTATAAGTGCCTGCATGGGCAAAACCTTGCATCAGCTGGTAACCAAAAGCATTCATTGAGCATACACCTGCTGAATATGCCTTCATGGGCAGAAGCTTTCATCAGCTGGCAAACCAAAATATTCATATAGTGAGCATACATTTGCTTAAGATGAAATCAGCTTCCAATGTTGAAACAGCTTGTGCAAGCTATATCTTGCCTGGTACAAAACCACAATTTTCTTTTAGTGAAAACTTGAAAACCTCTAGCTATCAAGCATAAAACAATGTTGCTAAAATTGTTTTTTTTATATTTGTATCTTACATTACTTTTTACTAACTTCTTTAAATTTGTATGACAATTAAACATGTTAATGTAAAAGTTAAAAAACATTAGATAATTCACTTAACCAACAATAAATTTTGTAGCAATTATAACATGTTATAACAAGTTATAACACCTTGTTAGTGAGTTATAATAGCCTTATAGTGTATGTAGTAATAGTCTTAACAGCCATAACTCAGTAGTAAAACCAGCAGCTTCAAAGCAGGTGTCTTGATGGTGGTCATATATTTGATATATGTTGCGTTGCGTGATGACTGGAAGCCTTGTCAAGTGGCATGGAAACACTTTGGAGAACATACTGTAAGTATTAGCTACCCGTGGTCAAGAGAAAAACTTGGTAGAGAGAGAGATCTCTAAATGGAGCAATCATTAGCAGTTTGTGTCGACATGTGTGTGCCAATCGCTACCCAGACTCTGCACGAGAACTAGACTATTGGATACTATTGGGACTAGCATGCAGACGTTTGGAGGTACTCAAACGGTGGCTGCACGCGACAAGCGCACCTGTTTGTTTCAGTTTCCATGTGCAAACTAAACTACCCTTTTAGGCCCCAAAGCACTGCTTACAGAAACTGTAGAGTTCGTTATTCTCACAGCTGCCGACAGCAAGTGGCATGGTTTTGCGATTTTGAGTCACGCAGCCAACCAGAAAGATTCCACAGCACTTGATGAGCGACGTATCAATTTATCCATACTTATCCTGCTTGGTATGTAAGTGGTTATCCCTGGTGATCTAGCACGACACACTGCTTTGGTCACGTGAATGGTCTCGAGGGGGACTCAATGAGCTGTGAGGCACTTGCAAGAGCATAATATCTCATATTACTCATATTTGTATAGCTTGCAGCTTGCCATTGATGGTGCACCGCTTCTTCGAAAAAATGCATACAGCAGCCTGATTTTCAATGTGGTATGACAGTGCACCCTCACCCAGCAACACACACAAGGTTTGTAGAAGACTGTTGGACTGTTGGGGTTAACCCCTCGCTTCATTGTTGATACCGATATGTTGAACTCAAAAAGCAGATTTCTCAGTTTGGCAAACTTATTCCACCTTCCTGTACATACTAGTTACTAGTGCTTCTAGGGTTGCATGTTAACCGTGGTTACTTCCAATGGATGGTTACAACACTTATTTATTCTCTATACTTGTACCTTGCGCAAGCTCTATACTTGTACCTTGCGCAAGCTATTTGTTTGGAATGCAGCAAGTGCTCCATGTTCAGTTTTATGTTCTCACGTCAGACAAAATTAATATATCAGAAGCAGCAGGAGGATAATTGGGCTGCCCAGAACATGTTCCGCCAGCCGCCCACCTACCTCACATCCCGAATCTTGTATTCTCCGAGGTTTGCAATGGATCCTTCCTGTTCTTGTTTTCCTAAGATAGTATATATTAGATGGGGCTGAGTCCCAGTAACAGTTCAACAAGGGATTTTTATTAAGTGTGTTCATGAAAACGAGCACCAGCGAATTGCTGGAAATGGCTCTTGGTTTTGGGACATTTTGGTCAATGAATTGCTGGGGTTGACCCAGATTGAAAAGTTTAGATCTCACCATGATCAGAATCATACCTCACTTCACCCATCCCCTGCCCCATACCCAGTGCCCTTCTGTAAGGTGTATATGTGTGTGGGCCTTGCAAATGATATAAGATGGTGAATGCTTGTCTTGCTTGTCCACCACTGTCAAAGGTCATGGTGGGGTGATTTGACGAATTCGAGCACCAGATTTGACGAATTCGAGCACCAGATTTTCCGAATTCGAGCACCAGATTAGACGAATTCTAGCACCAGATTTGGCGAAATCGAGCACCAGATTTGACGAATTCTAGCACCAGATTTGACGAATTCTAGCACCAGCCAGAGCACAATTTTTGCGCCCGTGTGTCTCCGCTTTGCCCGCTCTGGCACCAGCCCGACCACTGGGCTTTGCGAAATCGAGCACCAGCCAGAGAAATTGAGCACCAGATTAGGCGAAATCGAGCACCAGATTTGACGAATTCTAGCACCAGATTTGGCGAAATCGAGCACCAGATTT